CACAAGCACTATCCAGCAGTTGGCATGCTCCCACCAAACGCAGCATGTTTTCTCTTTTCTCTCAAATGCAGCAATCAGACCGACCAAACCGCCATGGATACCCACAGCTTGAACGATGGCCCAAAAAATCAAGAGAATACAGTCGCCCACCATCCCGAACACAATCCCCCACAAGCAAACAACAATCACCACAAAAACACAGCACCAAAACACATCGAACAAGAACTCGAAAATCGCAAGAATTGTACTACTCACAAGGAGCATTCCCTTCTTTCCTCTCAAATGCAGCACAATCAAACCGAAAAATTTTACAACGAGAATTATCAAAAATTTGTTTGAACCCCTAGTCCCTTTTCCCCCCTCCGTCCGAAAAATTTTACAACAAAAACCTCGTCACCTAACAAAAAAGTACCAAAAAAAATTCAATTGCGGACTCACCTTTCTCTCAATAGTTGCGTCGGAGTCGGCCACAACAAGGCGAGAGGCGACGAGAGGGGTTGCGTTCTTGCGAGCCGCGGCGACGAGAGGCAACGAGCTGGGTTGCGGGGACTGAGATAGCGATCACCGCGACGATGAGTTGGGTTGCAAGAACGAGCAACGCGGCGATGAGCGGCGAGCAACGCATGAGCGACGAGTGGCGAGCAGCCCGCGGCGACGAGCGGCGAAAGGGGCCGTGGGCGACGAGCAGCCGCGGCGACGAGCGGCGAGCAGCCCGCGGCGACGAGCGGCGAGCACGCGGCGACGAGCCAAGCCGCGGCGACGAGCGGCGAGCAGCCGCGGCGACGAGCCAAGCACAGGCGACGAGCGGCGAGCAGTCATGGCGACGAGCTATTGCGAGCAGACTGATAAGGGCAAGAAGGAAGGGGAATCGCTCGCAAACTGGAAGAGAGTCAAGACTCGAGACTGAGAAGTGAGAGGCTGAGAAGTGAGAGTCTAATGTTAGGGTTTTTACTTTTTTTACAGTAACTTAAAACCGGTTCTAAAAATCGGTCCGGGTGGGTTTTCACTTAGACCCGGGAACCGGACCGGTTTCAATCGGTTCCAAAAATATAGAACCGGTTCCCGGACCGGTTCAAACAGGAACCGGTTCCCGGACCTGTTTTCCGGGTGGGCCGGTCCGGTTTCCGGGTAAACCCGGTCCGGTTGCACACCCCTAGGAGAGAATGCTTCGAAGTGACGTGCAACTATTATTGCAAAGAAAGAGGTGATTGCTAACACGTAGAGAAGTAATAGTTGATCATGAAAAGTGGTGACGGTGGAAATAAACTATCTATTTCTAAGAGATGTGTTGATCGGTTGGTGGTAAATAACACCAAATCGTACATTGTTCATCACAATTGTTCAAAACAATAACTTTTTCTTCGTAATTCTTTCTTCTTCTCTTTTCATACATACAATTTTGATAACACATTCAAAGTGAAATTCCAAGAAAGAAAATGAGTAATTGTCGAATTTGTTTCTCTCCAGCTTTGATGTATATCCTGGAGATATATCTTTGTTGGGAAAAGCACAAAAAAAGTCTTAAAACTATTATATTGGTGCCAATTCAGTTCTATACCTTAATTTAGTTTTAAACCATTCAATTATGCCAATTTAGTCCTAAACCTTTTCGCAATTTGCCAATTGAGTCATTCCGGCCAATTTTGATAAGAAATTGTTAACATGGATGATAGCCGTCCTATTTGGCACGAGTAGTGCTGACGTAGACAATTTTTATAATTATTATTTCTTTTTTTCCTTTCATTTTGGCCGCACGAGGGTTGCGGCTCTCGCCTTGGTCCTTACCAGATCTAGGCAAAGGCCGTCTCGCCTGCGGCCTTCTCCACGAGGAGAGATTAAACCTGAACATAGATGATTTTTGTGATTCGGTAGCGTGCTTACTCTACGAGAAGAGATTGACCAGATGATTTCACTATGATCGGTAAAATGAAAATTACAATATCTCAAGTCTTCACAAAATAAACATCAAAACAGGCTTTAATAAGTACATAATTGAGGCCGCCTCTAGGGGCCGGTGTCTAGCCAATGTAGGCCTGCCAGCTGGACACCGGTCACTTTATCGGAAGTTGTTTTCGCTTCTAGCTAAAGCGCCCAATTAGGTTCGCTTCAATCTAAAATGTTCTCATTACAACCGTACTCCCACATATGCTATGATCATTCTTCTCCAATTTTTCAATCTATGCTTGAGAAGTCGTAATTCTTTCTTTTTGATATGTAAAGTTGGGTCAAATTCGGTTTCTTTGAGTTTTGTTTTACGTTGTTGATGTAAGTTATATGGAAGAAAAGTGTTTTTTTTTTGACTTAAACGCCTTTGAAAAATGATCAAGCTCGAGGGCATCTTAGGATAAAGTCAAGTTTAGCAGGAACTTGAGAAATGTCCGCTTTGGGGATTATTGATTCAAAGTAATCAAGTTGAGGGGTATTTCGAAACAAAGTCAATTTGGAGAGAACTTTGAGAGATGGATGCCACTTTAGGGGATTTTTGGAATATTCCTTAAAATGAGTAACAATGATATAACAATAAATAATGAGAAAATGACACAAATAGTCTCTGAATTTCGACTCAATGTATAATCAACTTTTAATTAGTTTAATGTGGTCCTTGAACTTTTGGTATATGTTCAAAAGCTATTTTTTCGTCGAACTGGGGTCGTGCTTCCTCATCGTTGCTTGTCAAGGTTGCACAGCTCCTAATCAATGGCCATCGGGGCTACTTGACCCCCAACCTGCAACCTAGTGGCACTCCTCGCCCCGTTTGTCTTTTCTTTTCAGTTATCCTTTTTTTGCTATTTTTTCAATATTTATTTTTTGGTATTTCTTATTCGTGAATTTTCTTTTGGTAAATGTCACGTAGGGCCAAGTTAGCATTAAACGGCGACTTAATGACCATGTCGGCATTTTTCGCCCATATTTTTGATGGAATGACCGATTCGAACATAAGAGCATATAAGGGTTCCAGTTACATAAAAATAGAATTCAGAAACCTCTAGAGCTTTTTCTCTTTATTGTTTACACATCCCTTTCTGATGTTACGAAGAAAGCGAACGTGAGGAATGACAGGAAACATCATAGGGGTCGTGTTCATTGTTTTGTAGTTGATACCGCCAACAGACGAAATCATAAGAGGAGGTTCAAATCAAACCGCCCATGAAAGCCGTCGCGTGGGGGAATGGGCCAGGTGTGTACTCTCTGGACTGTGCCTTTGAATTCACCTAGTCCTTTTTTTTTTTTTGGTAAGGAAAATTCACCTAGTCCTTTGATTATGGACCATCCCCAAAAATGTCTACTCCTTTGATTGTGAATGTGTACCCGAACATGCACTTTATTATGTAATGCACTTATGTTTTTGTCTTGATTGTGAATGTGTTCACATATAAAAGCCATCGTCGGGGGGGCGGGGGGGGGGGGGTGTGTGTGTGGAAACAGGCCGGGTGCGTACTCTCTGGACTGTGCCTTTGAATTCACCTAGTCCTTTGATTATGGACCATCCCCAAAAATGTCTAGTCCTTTGATTGTGAATGTATACATGAACATGCAATTAAATATGTAATGCACTTATGTTTTTGTGTTGATTGTGAATGTGTTCACATATAGATTTGTGGCATTTTTGTTTATTTTATATGAAATTATAAAAAGAATACAGGGTACCTTAAAGCCCTGCTAGGATTAGGCGCACAAATATAACGAAAGAGAGAGCAAATGCGAGAAAGAGAAAACGAGAGACAAGATTTTATCGGGGTACATTCAATAGATGATTCCGCTATAATTAGCACCTCTTACTTCTCTGTTACAGCTCTCAATTACAATAAAAATAGATTATATATAGGCAATAGCTATTCATTGGCTCAAACCCAAACTATCAATAAAATACGGACCCTAACTATAAAAGCCCTCTGGCGGCTTTCCATGAGTGGGACTCCTATGTCTTCTTGTCAAGGGAGAGTATAAACCACACCCTAACAAGCCCATGGCGACAAGATTTGGTTTTGAGGTGGTTCCAAAAACCCTTGGGGTAGATTTTGGATTCCAAAAGGTTAGAAGCCGTGCCTACAAGATAAGTTTCAAAGTACGATAATACCCTACTCACCAAAATGTTTATTAGATTAGGGTTAATTCCAAATAAAAGCACCGACGTTACTTTGGGTAACAATTCTGACCCGGACTTTTTTTAGTCTAATAAAAAGCACCAACTTTTACTTGAGTCCTAAATTTGGTCTCCATGATGCGAAATTTCAAATTGTTCGGGCCAAATTTGGAATTTAAGTAAAAGTTGATGATTTTTTATGAGACATAAAAAAATTCAGGCTAGAATTGTCACTTAAGATAAAGTTGATACTTTTTTTTTTGGAATTAGGCCCTTTAGATTATGGCATTAGTGAAATTAGGTATTTTTCCACACTTTCTTTTGATGACTAGGAAGCCAAATTGTAGAAAGGGCAATCATGGCTCATGAAATACTCCAAAAAACCAATTGATCAAGTGAGAGACACGAGCCATACTTGAGTTGGGGGGGACCAAACGTGCATATTTGATCAAAGCGTGCTTCAAAGTTGAGCGAATTATAAGATGGTGACTGTACGTGACACATGCTCAATCCGTGAAGAGAAGGGAACAATAAGGTCGGAATCTTTCTAGAGAGAAGGATTACAAGGGCGATTGAATCCTATCAATATGAATGGAAGTTGAAGGGTAGTTTTTGCTTCTCTTTTCGACTAATGGGGTCGTCCACCGTCATGTGATAATGATGGTTACAGTTCGATCCTAGACCCTTTGATGTTTTCTGTTCCATGGGAGACTTTCGCAATAATTGGACGGAGACTTTCTTATTTGGGAATCAAAAGAGTACAACTTCAATTTTTCTTTCGTCCAAGAATTATGAGGTGTCCTGTGGTGTGTGTATCATGTACCAGCAAGAAAATTGCACGTGAAAAATATGTATTGTCTAACGCTTACGTAAAAGTACAAAGCATGTAAAATCGGCGGATCTCATGAGAGAGAGTGAATGTTTCGGTATAAATTATGCATACATGACAGAAGATAAGGGCGCTTTTATCAAGGAGAGCTTGGAAGAAAAAACCCTGGCTCTATCTCAGAACCACCGATCGATGGAAGAAATCACATCTTCTGCTTCTTCCTCTTTACTGGTCCCTCTTCCTAAAGAAACCTCACTCAATCTCCAGCAATACTTTCACGTCTTGCTCCAGATCCGACCCGATGATTGGGTCTACTCCATTTTCTGGCAGCCCTCGACGGACGACCGTGGCTGTCTCGTCCTAACCTGGGGCGACGGCCAATTCCGAGGGATGAAAGATCGCGCACCCAATAACTCCACCAATCAAAGGGTGTCCAAAGACCTCGGGACACTCACCAGCGTCAATTTCAACCCCTCCTCAAACATGGATACTAAGTGGGTCCAAAAGGATGTCTACGATCTCGAAGGGTTCTACATTGTCTCAGTCACGAGGTCGTATTCCTCCAAGGAGAGCATCCTCGGGCGGACATTCTGTTCTGGGACTTACATCTGGTTGTGCGGCGAGGACGAGCTCGGAACTTACCAGTGTGAGAGGGTTAGAGAAGCAAGGATGACTGGACTCAAGAGCATAGTGTGTATATCAACACCCTATGATACCGGGGTTCTTGAATTGGGCTCCACCAAAAGACTTCAAGAAGATTGGAGTCTAGTCCACTTAGCCAAATCCCTCTTCACTTCTCATTTCTTGAGCACTGAAATTACTCCCCATGTCCATGAAGAGCATCAGTTCAATGTTGTTCTAAAGGAAGAATGTTCCGCGTTAGATGGAACTGGCGCTTCGCGCTCTGAGACGTGTCCTTCGGACACGTATGGGCCTTCGGGTTCCAAGAGTGACTTAAAAAGATTGGGCGCGTCGCATAATATCGCTTCCTCTAACAAGAGGGCGGCGATTACAAAGATGGAGAGGGACGACAAAGAGCCAGTCCGGTCGCCATCGCCTTCACGGTTGAACCACGTGGAAGCCGAGAGGCAAAGAAGAGAGAAGCTGAAGCAGAGATTCTATGCCCTAAGATCTGTCGTCCCTAAAGTCACGAAAATGGACAAAGCCTCTCTTCTCTCCGATGCGGTGAGTTACATCAAGGAGCTGCGATCCAGGATCGATGAACTTGAGGGCAAGCTCAAGTTTCTGTCCCAAAAGCCTGGCCCGAATAAAGTGGCCAGCCTTTTCAGCCATGAAACCGAGATGACATTGCAAGTGAGCAAGTTCAGATCGAGCCAGTCGCTGAATGTTGTCAAGGGTTTGAGCAAGATGGAGGTGGAGGTGAAGGTGGTAGGCGACGAAGCGTTGGTTCGGGTCCGGAGCCCGAACCGGGACCACCCGGCTGCGAGGCTGATGGACGCGCTCAAGGAGCTGGAGCTCGAAGTCCACCATGCGAGCGTGTCGAGCATGAAGGGGTTGATGCTTCAGGACGTGGTGATTCGGACTCCGATTGGTTGGGCGAGCGAGGAGAGCTTGAGAGATGCGATTCTTGCAAGATTGTGCAAGGTATGACTCATGGTTAAGGTGTCGGTTGTTGGGCTGAAGGTTTTGTTGTGTTGTTGTTAATGATTGAAATTCTGTTGTCAATTGTGGTGTTGTTTATCTAGCTGTTTGTTTTTGTAATCAATCGCCTTTGAGTGGCATAGAATACATATTGCTGCAACAGAAAGTGTCCGTCCGATCTAGTTAAGAACTTCTGTTGTTAATTCTTAACTCACCTTTGCTTTTGCAAAATTAGTACCAACATAAATGTTAAAGACACTCCAACATTTTAACTAGTTTTTCATTTAGTGATTTAACAATATTATTTTAGAAGCCAATACTTTGGACGTGGATCTCATTTATCCACACATACAGTGTAGTTCTGCCAAATCATTTTTGTTACTAAATAGATTTTATGAATTCCAAAGTACTGCTATGGAGAAGGTCACAGTATTAAGTTCCGAGTGAATTTGGATTATATCTGTATGCCGTGTATAAAACTCTTCAAATATCTTCCACCTTATCCCTTGTTAAGGTGTTCATCAACTCTTTTTTTATATGTTTTCTGGATGTTGTTAGTATGTGTTATTGGGACACATTTGAATAAATTCTGCATTCAAATATGGAGTGCGAACGATGGAACATAGGTAATTGGAGGAAGGAAAAGTTTTCTAGATATCCCAAAGAAGATATTCACATAATTGTGATGTAATATAAAGCATCTTTCGTCATACAATCTGGTCCACATTAGCAGAGTTTTACTACTCCGTCCACGGAATCCCCTTGTTCTGAAATTTCATGTTTGTACTTGTGATTGATTCTAAAAGGGTATTATGCCTTGTTTCTTGGGAAAATTGTCTAAAAAGTTTTAAACCTATTATACTTTTGCTAATTCAGTCATAAACCTTTTAAGTTTGCCAATTCAATCCTAAACCTTTTCACTTTTTGCCAATTGAGTCCATCCGGCCAATTTTGGCCAGCCGGCGCTGACATGGCCTCCGACCGTCTGCCCACGCTGATGTAACAATTTTTTAATATATATATTTTTGCCTTCTACCCTCTGGTCGGTCCCACGATCGGCGACTAGCGATCGGCCAGAGGCGCGGGTCAGCGAGGGCGAGCCTCGCCCGCCGTTGCCAGGCCGACCTCGCCGGATCTGGGCGAGGTTGAGCCTCGCCCAACGACAGTGAGGTTGGCCTCACTATGGCTGGGTGAGGCTCGCCCTCGCTAGTGGCCGGCGTGGGCGAGCTTTGCCAAAGGCCGGCGAGGTTGACCTCGCCGGCACGCGCCTTTGGTCCATTGTTGAACGGGCCAGAGGGAAGAAGGCAGAAAAAAAGAGAAAAAAATTAAAAAATTCGAAAAAAAATATTAAAAAATTACCATGTCAGCGTTGTTCGGACGGCTGGTGCCGGCCAGCGGCCACATTAGCACCGGCCAGCCAAAATTGGCTGGATGGACTCAATTAATAAGAAGTGAAATTGTTTAGGACTGAATTGGCAAACTTAAAAGGTTTAAGACTAATTGGCAAAAGTGCAATAGATTTATGACTTTTTGGATAATTTTCCCCTTGTTTCTTTCTTTCTCATGATAATGGGGAGTCTAAAACTTTTTAAACATTTGACTAATTTCAAATTTTTTGGGATGCACCACATGAGTTTCCTTCTTCACTAACATTACAAGAAAATTTCGAGTCCACATTCATTTGGCTCTTCTTGCCCTTTTCCAGCTTGTTTAGTGTCCATAACGATCCAAAATCGTTCTTCATCCCTTGAGACCGCAAGACAAACGTACTCATTTAGTAACTTTACTTAACACGCGCATACGATTTTCACGACTAAAATCTGATAGAGTTTCCCCTTAGCCGAACGGCCAAATATATATATTTTTTTTCACGTAAAAAATACTTATGCATCAAAGGAAGCGATCTCCTCCGTATTTCCATGACCGAAATATATACCCAAATAATCATAGATGTATAGAACAGTTTTCTGAAACTAGCACAAAATATGACATGACAAATAAAGGAGGTTAGCCCTCACCAACATCAGCATAAGTTCACTCCCGAATAGGTTTACAACGCCAACAAAAATACGACGAAATATAATCACATCATATTTAACATCCTGAAGAAAGACTAAAGAAAAAGAGTGTTTGAATATTTGTTCCATAAGAAAACAACTACAAGATCATATTAGTTGAGGGAGGCATATCGAATCAAGTTCATAATAACTCGATATGGATAATATAGGTATTTACATATGTTTATATAGATACATCGCGGTCCTCTGCTTTAATCATATATTCTGCGAGATAGCGATCCGACACGCTATTTATATGTTTTGACTGCGTTTGGTTGGACTTTGGACATGGGCTTTGGGCCTTTGAAGGCCGTTGAGTCAAAGTTAAGGTGCTTGGCAAGAAAATTTCAAAGGTTTTTGAGCGAAAGTTAGATTTCCAAAATCCCTTAGCCTATTGCAAGTCCTACCCAGCTTTGGCTTGGAGCATTTCTAGAATGCTAATAATTTTTTGCTTCCACTTTTACCCTAGTTGAATTTACGAAATTTCAATTTACTCTCACCCACATGCGACAGCAGCGAGGCCAAATCTGACTGTAGGTTGTGCAACCTCAACGATGGTCATTGGTGCCAGATTTGGCTTGCTAGCATCTAACCGTCGCCTCAGCATTGCCGGTTGCTGATCTTTGATTTTCCTTTTTTTAATTATTTAGGAAAATATAGCTAAAGTCTCTTTTACAAATGTAGTTTTTTCCAAACAATATTTAAATCAAAGTTGTTTTTGAATGCACTTTTCAATTACACTTTATTAAACACTATTAGGCTTTCAAAAAATCTCTTTATCCTCAAATTCTTCACATTTACCGACTTTTCCCAAAGGCTCTTCCAAATGCATCCTTTGCTGGGTTAACAATCAATTGCCATCCTCAGGGACGAATCTTTAGACACGACATCACTTTGCAAAAGACTGTCGAAGAGTACGATAAGAAAGACGTAGCGGCACAAAACGTTGCTTCCAGTTCTTGCAAGAGGGTATAATGCTCCATGAAAAAGAAACTAGTCACGGTTGTAATGAGAACGAAATCGTGTTTCACTTGTCCACGTCTCGAGAGACAATAAGTACGCCTTGCCTGTTTCCTATTTATACGTCAAGGAAAGATCCAACTACATGAAAACATTGCACGTGACATAGCGATGTTATAAGGTTGAGGTTCGACATAATGCTTCTTTCTAAAGCATCATATTTCACACAACGAAGTTGTCGTTTCTCCTCTTACGGCATCGTTGAGCAAAGCGTCGGATGAAGTGGTCAGAGGACTTTGGGTCATTGTCGTGTCAAATCAAATTCATATCTGTGTATGTATCAGTTTTCTCATTTGAAAAGCAACCTTTGACGGGGAAGGCGTGCACTGACTAGGATTAGGCACACCTAACTTATGAGATTTCGTGAGATTATCACTAACTGTTTTTGGAGTTTAAGTTAACGAGTAAGAGCTAATTTGGATATATTAACTGCTTCATACCAAATCAATTCTCCGATGTGAGACTTTTATAACACAACTCGCATGTGTATATCAATAATCTCTCCCTCCGACTGAGTAAAGATGGTATCAGATGAAGAATCCAATTGAGAAGATATGTAGTCTTTATGCTCTTCTCCACCCTCTCTCTTAAAGATCTTGAAATATTTATATGGAATTAGAGCAGGAAGTCCTGAGTTCAAATTGTTCCAACCCCCTATTTGCCTCCTCAATGGAATATTTTCAAGTTTAGTACTAGGCAAAAAGACCGGACTAAGCGTGAGGAAAAGTGATAGAATATTTAAATGTTAAATCATGATTTCATTTAATAGTTTAAGCTTTTAGAATGGTTGGCAGTGATCTTATAAAATCTCACACCACTTATTACGATAAATACATGTGAGGTGTTTCAAAATTAATTTAATTAGCATTGATTATATATTTGACCTGTGAGAATGAGATGTGATTTATATAGCACCCACCCACGTCAAAGGTATGTACAAGAGCAAAGACTTTCCATACATGCACACACAAAAGAAAAATAACATAGTACGAGCATGGTGACGTACTATTAGGTTAGCAACAAAATGTGATAATTGTCTAAAAAGTCCTAAACGTATTGTGCGACAGTCAGTTCGGTTCTAAACTTTTCAATTTGATCAATTTAGCCCTAAACCTTTTGACGATTTACCAATGTAGTCATTTCAATCAAGATTGACCAGAATTCGATGACGTGGATGCCGACACGGTCGCTGCTGACATGGATGATTTTTACAATTTTTTTAGAAATTTTCTGAATTTTCTGTTTTTTTTCCTTTTATCTTCTTTCCTATTTCCCTTCATCGGTCGCCAATCTTTGAAGGGAAAAAAAATCAAACAATTTAGAAAAAGTCACAAAAATTGTCTACGTTAGCGCCGGCTATGCCAAGTAAGACGATCGGTGCTAACTGAACCGCAATGTCAATGATTTAAGCTTTTCATATTGTAAGTCTTTTTTAGTTGTATAACAAGTAAGTCAACATTGTTAGATTAAAATCCCACTATATTTAGTGCAACTTAAAATATGATTGAGAATCTTTGAAAATCCTTCGAATATCCTCTCTCTCTCTCAGATGTTCTTGTACCTCCACTCTTCGATGCCTTTGCTGACGGCGATGAGCTACTGGAAGCTCCTCTCTCCTATGGCCCCTTCGGCAAACCATACCATCTCGTCTGGACTACTGCAACCGCTCTTGCCCCTACGACCGCCCACACTTCTACTCCCCCGCCGCTCACTCCCCCTATCAGCTTCCGCCTATACCATTCCCAGCCGGCGACTCCAATTCCAACCACATCCCCCCTCACACTAATTACCCCCTCGTCGAGTGTCGATCGTCGGCCCCATCCCTCCTCCCTATTACGTCTCTTGGCGTCTCGACGACGACAACAATCGTGCAGGTTGTTGGCGGTGGCAAAAACAGCAATGGAGGAGGAGCATATGACGGGGTAGAATCACGACAAAATAATAGCGATAGGTTGCAAAGGAGATTGACGTTATGAATGGTCATGATGGTCAATTGGGTCTGGTAGAGGAGGAGGCGGGGTAGGTAAGAAGGTTGGTTTCAAT